ATTTTATACCCCATCAAAAATTGAAATTCAGAAAAAGATGCATCATGCCTCAAGAATGTCCTAGATTTTCTAGATTTAAAATATTATGTCCCAAGACATTTATATGTCTTGTTCTAGCGGACATTTGTTGTTCCCAAAATTGAATATCCTAGCCATGTGGTTGGTATGAGTCCTAACTGTCTTAAGCCATAAGCATACGCTACTCCAGGTGGAAATTCAGGGGCGGGCACTGGGCTGAATTCTAGCCTGTTAAGCCGGGGGACTTTATTCTGCATCTGGGTTGAGCCATCAGGGAAGTGGACTTTTTTCTGCTAAACTGGAACCTGAAAACACATACCTGGAAAGATCCACTTTCTAACTATGAGGGGACAGTTGATTCCACAGCCCATGTTCAAAGAGCTAACTAAGACACAAAGCAGATACAACTGGCTGCAGCCTCTGTACCAGGGACGGCAAATCCAAATCCCTTCAGGGGCCAGGCCAACAACACAATGTGGAACAGGGAACGGTGGGGAGGAGGCCGCTAGTCTTCCCTAAACACATTCAAACTACAATGAAAACAACACAGCCCTGAGCTGGCCAAAGAAAACATGTTGACACGAGGTCTGCTGGCCACATAAAAATCACGGGCATTGTGTTGGCCACCAGGTTTCCTCCCGGCTCTACAATGAACCGCGGGAGCCTCTATTAACCTGACCCTCAGTGATCCCTCTTCAATAAATCTCTCACAGCCCATCACGTTTTTAATAGGTTGGGATTGCTACACAGTCTCCCTTTCCCTACTCAGGTCTAAGAATTAATTACTTAAGCCACTGAAAACATCCTAAAAGTAACATGAAAAACACCCTGGAGAAAACAGTATCTTCACTTTCTAATTGCTGTTGTTTTTATTTTTTTTGTGTGAGGAAGATTGGCCCTGTGCTAACATCTGCCAATCCTCCTCTTTTTGCTGAGGAAGACTGGCCCTGGGCTAACATCCGTGCCCATCTTCCTCCACTTTATATGGGACGCCGCCACAGCATGGCCTGACAAGCGGTGCGTCGGTGCACGCCCGGGATCCGAACTGGTGAACCCCGGGCCGCTGCAGCGGAGTGCGCACGCTTAACCACTTGCGCCACCGGCCCGGCCACCTGCTGTTGTTTTTAAAGCTGAAGAAACATAAAGCCAAAGTTCTGGGGCCGCCCACAGTGCACCCAGGGAATGTCTTTAAAGGGCGGTTTCTTCAAGGGCTGTGGAGTTTCCCAGCGCAGCGCAACCTGTGGTGCTCTGACTGGCTGGAGCTCTTTAAGTTTTTATTTCCAAGACAAACCATCCATCTGTCCCACATCTTGATAAATTTCCAAATGCACCAGAAGCATGGAGATCAATTCAAACATTTTTAAGTGAAATGGGAACTGAATAAAGTAGAAATAAGTTAATTTATAAGGAAGTGAGGCTATTTCCGATATTTATTTTTATATTTTAAATTTTATTTATTTATATTTTTGCCAAGGAAGATTTCTCCTGAGCTAACATCTGTGCCAATCTTCCTCTATTTTGTATGTGGGTCACCACCACAGCATGGCTCAATGACTAGTGAAGGTCTGCGCCTGGGAACTGAACCCGGGCTGCCAAAGTGGAGCGTGCCGAACTTAACCACTAGGCCAGGGGTTGGCCCCCAATATTTATTTCTTGAAATTGGGAAATGATGGTGAGCTTCTTAATGTAAACTTGTGATGCCTGATGACTGTTTCAACAGTGAGATCAGATTCCAAGTGAGCTTTCTGAAAAAGTTAACAGCCACAGCATGTGGGCACCAACTCAATCAAAACCAAACAACTCCCCTCCTCATTAATTAACAGTCAACAGACAAAGAGGCATGAATTTGGTCAATTACAGCCCGTTCTCAGTGAAGTTTGCTGCTTTAAGTAAAAATGAATCTTTTAACAGGCTAAGGCTAAGACAGATGGAAGTCTTGTTGCTCTCTGTAGACTTTTTGTAGACTTAAAAAAACCCCAAAACCAAAGAACCCTGTACCTACTTACTTACCAGAATTCCTAATTATTTACTGTCAGTCAGGGTTTGGAGAATTTCTAAGGCATGGAAAGAGCTGTGAATTTGGCCCACCATGAAGAACTGTCTGGACTCAAAGCAACGTGGAATATAAACAACTGAAATGCATAAAGTTAGGAACCACCCCCAGTGTTAACAGCTTAATATTCTAATAAAATAAAAGCGTTTTTCCCTATCAAGATGTGAAAACTATTAGAATTGCTCTGAAACCCCAGGGAGGCCCTTGCTGCAGGAATAGGTGAGAGAGCTAATCCCTGCTTGTGAGTCCTGCTTGGTGACAAGGACGCAGACAGGATTAAAGCTCCTCTTCCTGTCACTGCCCATGTGGGGTTCACAGTGAACAGCAGACTGTCTGTCTATTCTCACCTGCCTATCAGATTTGTTTTCAAGGGGAGCTACTAAGCTTTATCAGAGAATTGCTTCCTCTGATCTTATCTTTTATACACAACAATAACATTCCATTTATTCATTCAACAAATATGATGTACAGGGCACTCAGTCCATGTTCTACAAGCTGAGGACAGAGCAGTGAACAAAATATACAAAATGCTCAATAACTGTCATACTCCTATTCAGGGAATGCAGTGGCCTGCTAAGGGAATTTTGCTTATAGAGCAATCTCTATAATGCAAATGGAATCCTGGAATGCAATCTTTGGGCTCCTTGAGATGACACCTGATGAAAGCAAGACTTATCCCCAGCAAGCCTGGTCTAAGTTCACGTCAGGAAATGGAAATGCTGGCTCTTGCTGGGTTACATTTTCAGAAAAGGGCACCACAGCAGATTCAAAACAGAGAGTGCTTCCAGCAGTGGCAACCTTGCCATGGTCTGGCAGGCACACCTCCTCCTGGGGACAGGCTCTGAGCCTTCAGAGCAAAGGGTTCAAAGCAAGGTGCTGAGTACTGGAAGCAGGGGACTGAGGTGTTGGGAAATTTAATTAGCACATGTGAAACTAAAAGTGCCCTATAGCTGAAAGCCCCTCTAGAAGTGTGAAGAATTAGGATTGCTTTTTGAGAACTCCCATTTCCCAAGAATGAACAGCCTGGGGAAAGAAGAACTGCTTAGGTTTTTTTTTGTTTGTTTGTTTGTTTTAAATATTTTTTGAAGTCTTTTGCTGGTAAGGCTTCCACAGTTTTTGCTAATAAAGTTTTACCTTTATTAAAAGAATGATTTATCTTCATCTGCCCAGAGCAAGGGCCTGCTTGACTATGAAGCAAGCTAGAACATGGATCTGCACTGGAGAAGATGCCACATTTTATAACATAAACTGTATAACTCAGGAAGAGACTTCTTTAAGCTTCCATGAAATCCTGTCCACTTCAACAAGCAAGCACAGAGCACAGGCAGGAGTGCACTTGAGGTCCCTGCACTGCAAGGCTGCACAGTCCTGGGCCGGGGAGATGTTATGGAGCCACTGTAGATACAAAGACACACTGGAATAACTTGACCACACGGCCAACTGCAGTATGGACTGGAGCAGACTCCACACAATGAGCAGGTTTAGAGCAGGCTTTTCACAGGAGAGATTTGGGCTGCATCTTGAAAGATGAACAGGACTTTCGGAAATGAAATTTAGGGGAAGAGCATTTGGAGCAGAGAAAGCAGATGAACAAAGGCACAGAAGACTGCTGGGAGAGAGTGGGCAGAAATGTGACTGACACACATGGAGGCTGTTGTGGAAAGACAGCCCAGAACCCAAATTCTCTCAGATTAAGGATGGGGACTTGACTCAGAAGGTAAATTCTGGGGGAGTGGTAGGGGAATGAAGGGCAGCTGCTGAATAGAGGAATGCAGTCACCTGGGGTGAGCCTCAGAAAACTGACGGTCGGGCAAGTAGGATGAACTGAAGAGAGACAGTTAGGAGGCAGCCACCAGGTTCAGGGAAGACATGAAAAACTCAGGACATGAGCAGAGGCAGTATGCAAGCAATGCCCGGGGTAAGGAAGAGACAGGCATTAGGCCTGCAGAGGCAGAGCACTTGGGATTTGGCTCCTGATTCAATCTTGAGGGACTGCATGGACCAGCAGGAGGGTGCTCAGATGATTTTAAGGTTCAGGCCTGAGGAAGAAACAGGATGGTAAGATGGGAATGAAGGAGATGATGATGGGACGTAAAACAGACTAGAGCTACAATGAAAGAGATTAGCTAACGATGGATTCAGCATACCCAACAGAAAAAAATAGGTGAAAAATTACAAAATAATTGATTCTTCATTTTGGACTACATGCTGTCTACTTAAAAAAAAAAAGACACTTTAAATGTCTTAAAGTGGCAGCTGAAGAGGGAGAGTAAGAGGATCCTGTGTAACTCTGACACTGTCTAATTTGGGAGAAAATTTAGCCAAAGGTAACATTTACTATATATACTGCTTTCAACTTTAAAATTTTCTGCCTTTCCAGAGTTTATGGATCCTCCCCATTCGTTTTAATAACCATACTTGCTATAGTATATGGATGTGCCACAACTTAATTTCAGTCTCCTTCTGAAGGGCATTAAGTCGTAGAGGAGAAATGCATCGGTGATGCCCAGCAGCAAGAATGAGCAGGAAAACGCTGATGCTTCACGTCACCCTGTAGCTCACTTCCTCCACTCTACTTTTTTTGACTCAAACTCTGCTGGAAGAGAGGCAGAAAGCAGCTGCCCCCCAGCATGTCCATCTACTGTTGGTTTTCTTCTGGCAGCAGGCACACGCTATTCCAGTAAGCCAGGCAATTCGCTTTTAAGCACATAAACTGACAGTTATTCTTTGACGCTCGTGTGAAGCTTAAATAGAATCATGAACATGAGGGGCCACCATGACCTAGACCATGCCTGGAGCTCCCAAGTTAGAGCCAGGGTCAAGGCACACTTCCCAAGGTTAGAGTAACTGTAAAAAAAATTTTGCCTCATGGAAAACATCACAGAGTAACTCAGGGTATAGCCATTTATTACATTTAGGTTCAACATACCTCAAACTCCAGATAGTGATCTTTCAGTTTGTATTCATCTATCTCCTTGGCTTTGACCTTCTTGTCCGGGGGATATGAGCGATGCTCGGCCAGCTCGGTGGTAATCTGCTTCAGCTTGCTTTCATGAGATTTCAGCTGTTCCTCCTGCAGGAAATTATTAGGCCATTTAGCACTGGGAAAATAAATCAATAAAAAGTTGTAGAGTACTTTAAAAAATCCCCTATGATGAATGACTTTAATTCATCAAAACAGTCTAATGTGCCCCTGCTGCCATATCTTACCCACTTTCTCAGGCCCATGTTCACATGAACCTTTGCAAATGGCAACCAAGGCCAGCCTCTCTCATCAGGTCCCTTGTCACAAAACCGAATGCTTTCAGAGCCCTTTATCAGGTATAACTGTCAGGGAGTTGAGACCAGGCCTCCTAAGAGATACTCCAACAGGCAAGGCACCAGCTGAACAAGCACCTGTTCTGAGGGCCACACAATTCGGCGTCTCCACTTCACGTCCACTCCGTAGTGGTACTAATCTCCTCCGTCTGCCACAAGGAGCCTATCTGCATATTTTTCCCTGTTTTGAGACAAGCAATGCCACCAAGAAATAATTCTCTGAAAGCTATTGGATGACATTCTAAAAACTGCAGCAACTATGCTTTTTCCCTCCAAAGTAGAGGTTCTGACTTCCTCCAACTTTATTGACCCAAAGTAGTTATTCAATTAAAATGTACCCATAGAGCGATTATTGCCTGAACAGTGTTATTACAGGCACTGTGCACCAATGCAACATGGCTGATCCTATGTCAAAGAATTTCCATTCTAGGGGCACCATTTATATCACCTTAGCAAAAAGCTACCTAACGAGAAACACTATCAAACCCTTTGGCAGCATTTTAAAAATAAAAGAGACTGGAATTCTCTTGCATCCCTAGAATTGTACGCCTACTTCACTTACTATTCCACTCTCACACATAAACTATCCAAATTCTTGTTGAGTGTAAATTTCACACGTATAATAAGAAATAAATGGATGAAAGCATACGAAGAGGAACCGATCAAACTAGGTGATAAATACATTTTGTATAACACCAACATAATTTCAAAATGTAAAAATTTTATCATAGACTGAGGAGAGTAATTAAAAAGACTGCCAGAAAGTAAATAATTATGGACACTAAATTAAGATTATATAACATTACTTTAAATTAAAAAAAAGGATATTCAGAAATTATGAGTCACATATAATATCTTAGGGATTTGTTATAACGCACATCTTAAAAGCCAAACAAGAGACAAAAAATCCAAGTCTTAAAGCCATCAAAATAGAAAAGAACAATGAAAAGTTTTTACAAAGCAGAGTACATGAATGGAAAAACAAACAAGAGAGGTGGCAGGAACAAGTGGAGGGAATGAAAGATGACAAGATTCGTTTTTAAATACCAACTAACTAAAACAAAACAAAACAAAAAACCTAAAGAAGTTCCAGACAAGCATAGGGTAAAAAAAAAAACAAAAAACCTGTTTTGAGATTTCAGATGCGGATCTACATCTCCAAGCCTGTCATTTGTATACTGATAATACTGAAAGGAAATGACAAATGCTTCAGGTAGCTTTCCTTTACAACTTCTCATTCATCTTTCTATTCGTCTCTCTATTGTTTCTCCAAGGAGACTACAGACTATGCCATGGACTGAACGTGTGTGTCCCTCCAAAATTCCTACGTAGAGCCTAATGTAGCATATTTGTAGATGGGGCTTCTAAGGAAGGAAGTAAAGTTAAATGAGGTCATAAGGGCAGGGCTCTGATCCGACAGGATTAGTGTCCTTATAAGAAGAGACACCAGAGAGCACACTCTCTCTGCCTGCAAATGCTGAAGAAAGGCCATGTGAGGACACAGGAAAAAGGGGTCTGTCTGGAACCTAATGGGAGAGCCCTTACCAGACCCCAACCCTGCAGGCACCTTGATCTGAGACTTCCAGTCTCCAGAATTGTGAGAAAAAATTTCTGTCGTTTAAGCCACCCAGTCTGTGGTATTTTGTTATGGCAGCTGGAGCTGAAAAGAAGATATTAATAGCTTTTTTCTTTCAAAGTGATTTTCCTTTGTGTATTTACTGCAACATATAAATTATTTAACAGAATTTTTGACAAAAGATATACGGTGACTAGAACACTTTGAAAATTAAAAACATGATGTATTTTTTCTCTTGGTTTAATAAAATGTTTCAGATAGACGAAAAAGTCATATTGAATAATATATTAAAATCACTCATGTATCTAACACCCAGTTTAAGAAACAAAATATTATAAAAAGCTGAAACTTCCTGCCTTTATCTACTCATCTCATTCCTTTTCTATGACACTCTTATACAAATATATGTATCCATAGAAATTGAGAGTACGTTCTATGGGTTTTTACACATTACAGGGTTCCTTTTGTAACTTGTTTTTTCACTCAACATGTTTTTTTTTTAATGATTTTATTTATTTATGTTTTTTCCCCCAAAGCCCCAGTGGATAGTTGTATGTCATAGCTGCACATCCCTCTAGTTGCTGTATGTGGGACGCGGCCTCAGCATGGCCGGAGAAGCGGTGCGTCGGTGCGCGCCCAGGATCC